CTAATGTGTACTTGATACTCGTAAGCCCTCAGTCTGATAATCTTTAAAAACGTTCTGCAGAGAGCCCAAATAATATACCCTTGTGCCAGACTTGCATAATCTCAGTACATTTTCTGACGTAAGCTTGTACTTATTGGAATTTGTTTTTATTTATATATTGTACTTAATATTCATTAATAGATACTAAACATGGAATGAATTGCTTAGCTCAGCTGACCAATACAACACTATTGTCAGCAATGTGCTCTGGCCGTAAGACATGAATATTTATTAAGCGCTCTCATTTAAAAATAAAACTTGTAAGACAAACAAAATGCTGCCGGAGGCTTAAAGGCAATAATTATTTGCTTATACGAAACCGTCTGCGTTAAAATGTTTTTCTATTTTCTCATTATATTCTCAAAAAAGAAAAGGTCTTATTTGATATTTAAAAAGAGAAGATAGAAACGCTGTCAATATCTGTAGATTTAACATGCCGAGATTTAAAAGAAAATAATTCTTCACTTCAGGTAATGGAGCGAAATAATAATAGGGAGCTTCCACGAACTGAATGGAAGAATCTTCACATTGAATTAGTGCCCAACGGCCTTCCAATTTTATCAATGAATAGAAAATAAGTAAGGATAAATTCTTTGAATCAGATCAATAATAATAATAATAATAATAATAATATTAAGAATAAAAATAATAAAAGTATTTGAAATAATAATAATAGTACAACTAATAATAATATTAATAATAATTGTAATAGTATTAGTAACAGTAATAATAATAAGAGTGATAATTAAAGTATTATTAATAATAGCAGTAACAGTAATAGTAATTATAATATTAATAATAAAAATCTTGATAGCAAACAGCCAATCCAACACTTACATCCGTAAAGCCGATGTACGAAAGAGAGCAATTGTAATGAAAATATTTATAGAAATGTATATATATATATATATATATATATATATATATATATATATATATATATATATATATATATATATATATATATATATGTGTGTGTGTGTGTGTGTGTGTGTGTGTGTGTGTGTGTGTGTTAGCGAGCGGCGCTATATTGAGTCTGATTTTATGATCTCTTGGAACAGTTGGCATAATGTTTGCTTGACAACGTTTCAATTCTCGTTAGTGGATGCGCGCTGCTGACGAGTTCCAAATATGGGACGAAACGGCCGTCCTTTCTGCATCCTGTTGAGGTTTCTATCAGACTCGATGAATTAATTAAATGTAATTATCGAATCCTCCTAATAATTTCTATATGTCTGTATATATGCTTGTATGTATGTTTATAATACTAAACGTTTGATTTTCTAGACTTCATTATAGCTGGAGACGTACATTTTAGTCAGATATATTGAATTAGGAAAACTCGAAACTACTTTGTATAACAAATTATGAGAAAACAAAATCTTGATGATTTCAACTGAATAATAATATTGTTGTTTACTCTGAAGATGTTGATTTAGGGAGATAAATATTAAATAGGAAGTATACTGTATTCATTTATTAGAATATTATTTAATCTTTTTTTTAAAAAAATCTGTTGCCTTAAAACAATTCCCCTTATTTAAAGAATTCAAGATACAAGATAGCGAATTCTTTGGCATCGTAATTTGCACTTGCTGTCTGACCCATTGTTTCACTGGTTCTTGAATTAACAGAAGTGATTAGAATATTACGGAAAGAAAATTAATCCTATTCCAAATTAGTAATATTTTATTACACAAAAATTAAAATAGACTCGTGAACCAGATCTATTCATCATAAACAAAGCCTGCCAATCAATAGTGACATTTCGGGAGAGAGTTATTTAAAACTGACTCAAAAAGGTTGGTACTATGAGTTGAAACTGAACATTGTTTGCTCACTTAAAATACCAAAGGTTGGACGAGAATTTTCGTAATAATTTCACCTCAAATGGCTAAATAGCTCAGCTGTCTTGAATACCCTGAATTATTACACGTGGGGTTTCGTCGTGAGAGAGAGCAATTAGCGACGCTGCAGTATGATTGTTAAACACCACTGTCCTCGACGTTGTGGGAAGACTGAACAAGCGGCAACGGATTCCTGAAGACACTGTCTTCTCATAAAGCACTGAGACGAACCTCGATGACGGAGGTGGTTTTATTCAATGTTCTTTTTCTCTTTTTCTGAGATGGAAAATGTGTACTTCCTTATTTTAAAATAAAAGTGATTTTTCTATAGAATAAATTCTTTAAAAATATTGTTATTCTGAATTCCAATTAAATGGTGACCTATCGCAACCTCCATATATATATATATATATATATATATATATATATATATATATATATATATATTTGTGTGTGTGTGTCTGTCTGTGTGCGTCTGTGTGTTTATAAAAATAAATGTAGACCAAAACCACAGCAGACATTTTTTCATCGTGGGAAAAAAGAAGACATGGTTTAATCTGTCATTTCTGTTTTTTTTCTTTTACTGCAGGGTTAAGACGCCATGGAGAAAATTTGACTTCTATTATCTACAATGAATCTTTTCTTACATCACGTGTTAGCTGAAAGGCAAGTAAGATTCCATCCGACAGTTTCTCATGTCTCTCTTTCCAGGTATCTATATAAACTCAACACACCTATATAGGTGTATTTGCATTTTGATCGACCAATCTCGAAATAAGGTATATATATATATATATATATATATATATATATATATATATATATATATATATATTATTTATTTTTAAAATATTAATAACATAAATATGTTATAAAATCACTACAAAAATAGCCATTTTCTTTCAACACCCTCGGTGTCTTATCAAGTGACATATATATATATACCCGTAGAGTGCGTATATATATACGCACTCTACGGTTATATATATATTTTAGTCTGTAATGTCGTTCCTTTTTACTGTATATCTCCTCCTTAAATAACATGAGATAGCAGATATTGTATTTACTAGTAGTAGCACGATATATTCTCTCAATACTTGTGTCAGTATATATGGAAACTTTATATGCAGTGTAACCCGGATATAAGAGAGTTGTCGGGGCCGGAGAAGAAGTCTCTTATATCCGGGTTTCTCTTATAGCCGGGTTTGGTCTATTTTGTTTAGGTAAGTATGGGCTCTAATTTGGGTCCAGAGAAAATCTCTCTTATATCCGGGTTTCTCTTATATTCGGGTCTCTTATATCCGGGTTACACTGTATAACAAATATTTTAGTAAAATATATTTGAATCTCAGAGTCATTTCCCTTGGACTTATTAACATCTTGTGACTTCGTTTCAGTTTGGTCATGATCTGGACATTCTCAAGTTTGAATCATATTTCATCCTTAAATATAATTATTTGTAACTTAGAACTTTTAGTTATTTCCTGTATAGTGCGCTGAAAATCTGTGCATAGTTTTCTGTTTAAAATATGCTTATCTTTGTGGTAATCTACGCATTTCCATCCTTATAAAGTTCATGCTAATAAAAGGCAATGCTAATTTTAAATCCAATGTCATCTTCTGTCTCCTTGAATCATGTGCTTTTATTGATCTCTATGTTCCATTCTGTCGTAATAAGTGTTGCATTATAGTGGTTTCATTAGCATGATTTCCGTTAAATTATGAAAATAAGAGAATATTTATTTTTTTAAATCACTATATTTGGCTGTTTAATTATGATATATTCTATATTAAATCAAAAGTGACTCATTCAGTTTTTTTTTTTTTTCTGAAAAAGAGAAGATTACTTTAGGACACTCATATCAATTATAAGAATTTGCAAATTTGACAAGTATTCAAAGATGTCTGTTTATATCTCTGAAATGACGTTTTATGATTACTTGCATCATTTAGATTATTCAGACTGTTATCCTCATCTTTATTGCCGTATTCAAAACATTTCGGTGTTTGGAATTTCGAAAACGGACTTGTGAATTTCGTTGTTATTACAATTATATTAGACTCATCCCCATGTAACAAAGCCTAACAAAAATGGAAGAATTATTTTTTTAAAAAGAAAAGGCCAATACCCAATATTATCACCTATGAAAAACGGCCACGATGTGCTGACTGTGTTTGGAAAGTAAAAGATTCCGATAACACTAGATAGACACATAAAACAATTCATAGATTTACTTAAAAGTAAAAATAAAATCAATCTTGATAATAGCTAAAAAATATAGCTGAAAGCGCTCGGACATGCAAAACATTTGGACAATTTCTACGTATATTCTGTCCAGAAAAGTAGAAAATTATAAGAGCACAAGAAGAATTAAAAAAAAAAACAACTGAAACGCCGTATCTTGACAGTCGTTTTTAACGAAACTCTTGTCTGTGTGCGTATATATATATATATATATATATATATATATATATATATATATATATGGTAATGACATGCTGCTAACACCGTGTTTAATCCTCTATGTATTGTTCGTTATCAATTTTCTTTCAATTTTATTGTTTTTGACGCTATATTTGGACAAAGTGTATGAAAAAGAGATGAAGAAATCTGATTGTTGCCTGATTTTCGGCAATTGACGACGGAAAACAGAGACTCGCTGGCCTTTCGTTGTTTACGGAAAGTTGTTTACCCCAGGGGTTTTTATATCGGCACATAACACATAACAAACACCTTGCTATTTCGGAAAGATAAGTACGTTTCATAGCAAAAGATTTGGGAGACCGCGTTTATTTTATAAATGAATGCAATAATCGAACATTGTCAGATATGGTCGCCAGTCTTATTTGCTCGGGGAAAAGTTTTTGTCGATTTCTTTCGGCAAAAATATCGCGATTTAAATACAATATTTCCGTTCGGCTGTTTAGTTCTTATTTGGAAAATTATAGAAAAATCGTTATCAATATTATCAACTACCAGAATATATTCTGCCCGAGTCGCCGCCGGATAATGGTTAACAAGCTTAATATTAAACGACTGGTAACTTGGAGCATGTTCTGTCCTTAGTAATGTTTATTTTATTTGCTACTGTATTCATGCCATTCCATTTCTGCTGACGGCCATACTACGTTGAAACACTGGCTCCCATAGGATTAGCGAAGTTAAGCAACATCAATCCTGGTCAGTACCTAAATGGGTGACCGCCTGAGAATACCCGGTGCTGTATGGTTGAATGAACTAGTAGTGTAGTGAATACTGGCTCTAAATTGTTAATCTGAGAACCAAGTTCTAGTCGGGTCTTTATTTTCACTTATGCGCAAGTACCCTTGGGAAAAGGATGAATCCATCCCCCCCAAGTCAGAGAGATTTATATATCGCTAAAGAAAAAAAAAACAACCAAATTTTAATCCCCAGGACTGACTCAAGTGAATCCATTTTGGTCGGGCAATGAAAGTTTCAGCATTACATTTGATTTATATGCTATTAGATTCATTGACATGTTTGATATACGAGTTTCACTTGAAACCGGAAGTCACCTTTAGAATCAGTTGGCTTTCGAGACAATGAGACGCTTTTATGGTATGGTCACTCATTAGGATTGGTGCAGATTTATTGACTACTCATTGGTGATTAAATGTTAATTGTTTATTTTACATATTTTGGTTGTCAGAGGAGAGATCAGCGTTCATGCGCTTGTCATCAAGATATTTGGATGCACACCCATACAAGACGGTATCATATGCATAGATATTTACAAACAAATAAGGACCAGTGCATAAAATATCTTTTCAGTGATATCAGATAAAATATATATCTGTTCAAGAATATGACAAAATTAATATAAGTATTTGGAAAGTGAAATTGAAAACAGAACACTATAAATCTTCAGTTATATCTATAATTAATAAAGCCCTGCGTAGGAAAAAACTCACACTCTTTTTTAAAGCATTCAACTCCATGCAAGGTGGGAAGCCACTAGCACGCAAAGCGTTTCAGAGTAGAAGCGAGAACAAAGATGTGTTATAGCGGAAAGGATGAAGAGATGGTTAGGGGATAGATCAGGGCATCTTGAGACGTCTATTGACGTCACATTTGAATTGTTGGAGATTAAATTTATCAGGAAAACAAGAAATGGGGAGAAAGTTCCACAGGCGAGAAGTGCGAGACATGAAGCTATTGGCGGCTACATTTAACAGTTTCGACAGTGAAAGGGAGAGCGAGATGCCAGCCTAGTTGAGCGCTTAAATTCACGAAGTCTGGGAACAAGCGAAAGCAACTCACCGGAGCAGTTATCGTGAAAGTATTTGTAAAAAAGACAGAGGGAGGCAACGGCACGTCTGTGAGAGAGCGGCTGCAAATATTGCTTATCCGTCTTTGGATTTTATCAAGGACCTTGAGGCAATTAGAAGGGGTTCCAGACCATATATGGTAGCAATACTCCATGCAAGGGCGACTACGTTCCTACTAGGTTTCGTATACAATATATTAAATATATGATGCTGTTTCGAAGAGCAACATAAATAATAATAATAATAATAATAATAATAATAAGTAGCAATGTCGTAAGAAAATGAAATAACTGTTATATATGGCTGGCCTGAAAATATCTTTGCCAAGAAATTCTCTCACAGAAGAAGAGCCCAAGGTTTATGCTTCTTCTTATTGCTATTGTTTTTTTTATTTATTTTTTTTAGTCTCTCTGTGATGTCGTTTTGTTATTGATATGTCCCAGAAATGGATATACGTTTTGGAAGTAGCAAAATGGTTTTTGACTACTGTAACCGGGTAGGACAATCTAGCAGGTAACCGTAATGAACTGGTCCTCGTTGTAGTGATAGGCAATAGGCGAAGGCAATAGGCGAAGGCTATAGGCGTAGTCCATAGGCGTTGTCCATGTACCTCCACATCAGTCTGTATTTATGGCTGACACCAGCCAATCATATTACTGTGAGGGGGACCCCAGGTGTATGCATATTCATTACATCAGCTATCTAGTAAAGTTATTTGTGATTCTCTAGAATCAGACAATAAGTTCTGAATATATATTTTCGTCTTCATGTCAAAGAGTATTTATTAAAATTACGATGTAATACATAATTACTACTACTACTATTAATATTAATACTAGCTATAATAACAATATCTACAAATAAATGTGAAAATTTCAGGGTTTTCTTATTTTAACTTTCGGGTGAATCAAAATTCTTAATTTAATAAGCCCTTGCGAACGACTGTAAATACCAGTGGAAATTCCCCTGTTGCGTCGCTAAATCAGTCATTGCCATACGTGATACACGCTACGGCTTCGGTAATTGTGCGGGAACCAGTGATTCAACGTAATATGACCGTCAGCAGAAATGGTAAGGCATTCATGTAGTAATAAATAAAATAAAATAAAATAAAAATCACTAAGAACATACTCCACGTTACCAGTGGCTTAATATTAAGCTTGTTAACCCTTACCCGGCGGCGAATCGGGCAGAATACATGACTGAAAATGCAGATTTTTACGTAGTTGGTTGCCATTTTTTTCTGCGGTAGAATGGTTGCCAACCAAGACTGAATAACCCAGCCTGCTATTTAACCAATTGCCGGGGCAGAAGAGATGAATTGATATCTTTCCCGAATGTGTTTGTGCGAATGTCAATCTACCGAACTCTACTGGAATTCGAAATTGACTCTCCAATTTTTCTCTCCAAGCCGTTATCCATTAGATCACAATATTTGAACTGGAACAAAATATTGACATAGCAATCAGGATATGAATGTAGGGTTCTTTATTTAAAGAAGTAAGTAGGTACAAATGAAAAGATTTGAAATTCTATTTCACTAAAGCAGACGCTAAACACACGACAATGATATCTCCTCCATCGAACCATTATTTCTTTCTTTCTTCCACTGAAAGCAAACACATCTCTGGTTATATATTTTCCTTATTTCGGCGTGATCAAAATGGAATATTCTATTATTTATGAGGTACTGGAAGGACGCTAGGTTGGGCTGTTGTTGTCGTTAACAACAACAACAACAACAATAATAATAATAATATTTTTATTTCCTTTGATTTCTGGCGTTTACACATTTCTTTTCGGGTCTCGCCCAGGGACCTAAGGCTAAAAATGGCATCATGACACTTTCCACTGACAAAAAAAAAAAAAAAAAATACATAGATAAAACCCTTCATAAAGTGTGGGCTGTACTTGTCAGAACAATTTTTTGTATTTCTTTGAGTCATGAACTTCCAGGAATCCCTTCAATTAGTCTACTGAAACTACAACATTGATTGTTGATGTTCCCATGTACCATATTTTTGAGATTTCGATTTCAACGTCCTTGTATTTTGAGAGCTTTTTTAATATCTTCAAAGATACATTGCAGTCAGCAGCGACTGCCATATCAATAAGGAAACACTTTTGTTTGTCGTCTTTAATAACAATGTCTGGGTCGTTGGCTTTGATTGTTCTGTCAGTGTGTATTGTGTAGTACCATAGAATTGTAACAGGTCCTATCTCCGTAACCGAGTCTGGATGGTGTTCATTCCAGTTTCTTTCAGTTTCCTTCCAGTAGAAGTTGCATATTTTCCAGTGCAGTTATTGGCCAACTCTGTCATGCAGGATTTTATACTCAATGGGTGCAAATATCGTGCAACCTGATACAAGATGATCAATTGTTTCTTGATATTTATCCCAGAATCTGCAGTTTGGGTTAACAAAATATTTTAGTATATGTACCTGATAATACCTAGTTAACAAGCATTGGTCCTGTGCAGCAAGGATAAAACCTTCAGTTTCAGCTTTCAATCCTGCACTACGTAGCCACTCATGGGTACAGGTTTTGTCTCCGTAAGATTGTTTGGTACGGGCAGAGAATTGGCCATGAAGCGGTTTATCTTGCCACTGTTTCTGTATCTGGTCGGTGGCATTTGGTTTTGCTTTCTTTTTTAAGTATTTTGCAGCTTCAGTCGGTGTATTGTGCTTTACGTGCATTTTTTCGCCAATTTGAAACTCCATTTTGATTATTATTAATAATACTATTATTATTACTATTAATAATAATAATGTCGATTATATGCTAAAAATGATAATGGAAACAATTTTAAAGATAATGCTGAGAATGATAATAATTATACTAAAAATGATAAAATCATAATATAATTTTCTTCTTTGTCGTACGCATAATTTATTATGTAATTTTGATATATAATAATAATAATAATAATAATAATAATAATAATAATATGAATACATACATACATATTAACATATAAGTGGAATTTTTACAGTGAAAGAAGTTATTAGAAACTGCAAAATTACTTCAAGATTTTCTCATTTTATTGATCAAGGCAGAACAACTTTGCGTGGGTTTTGGAATTCATTTTTTTTTCACACATTTTCGCCAAATGCTGCTAAAACTCTGTATCTTACATGCAAATGGCTGACAGATTCGTATTTAATCTGAGGCACGCACACAAAAGATGGTGCCATTAGTGCTTCCTTCAACTCTCAAATGTTCTTGACAAGTCGCTATATTGTCACATATGTTTTTAATGTCTCAGAACTGAGGGTCACGAGTCATAACGAAAACAATGAACAGATTTACTCAACATCGCAGCTCCCACGACATGACCACACACATATCTGTACAGATGAACTGAAAATGGCTAACTCATCCACACGCACACGCATATATATATATATATATATATATATATATATATATATATATATATATATATATGTGTGTGTGTGTGTGTGTATCTATGTATGTATGTATATATAACAAGAAAAGTTTTGGCAAAGATATATGACAAAGTTTAGGACTTCAGCGAACTAAGCTTGTTTACTTGTATATATAAATATTATTTCACAAGAAACAGAATATCGTCATATATATATATATATATATATATATATATATATATATATATATATATATATATATATATATATATATACCGCATTGGTGTATACGGAATACATTCGAATAACCAACAATTACTATTCTTAAAACAGTGCCCAATACAGAGTAGAGCAAATATAATTATTTATTCGAAAATTATACCATAAATATGTTGTAAAATCACTACAAAATAGTCATTTTGTTTCAACACCTCTGGTATCTTATGATTTTGAATGTAGAATAAAGTTTTATTCTACATTCAACATCATCTCTTGATAAGGCACCAGAGATGTTGAAACAAAATGACTAAATTCATGAAGGGTATATC